GATATCTCATTGTTGTTTTGATTTGTTTTCCCCTGATGATTATTAAAATTCTGTATTGTCATTATGATTCTGAGTTCTATGTCCTGTATTACAAGGGGATATGGTTGCTTACTATTTATCATAGTAAAGCTGGAATTTATCCATACAAAGATTAAATTAATTTACTTATACCATGAAAAAATGATTTCTTGAAAATGCAAAAAGGAAAAAAAACCCATTGTTGGAGTTGGGTGTCAGAAAGGCAGCTCCGGTGGCTGACCAACATGAGCAGCAGCTTACTAGTTGACATTAGTGCTTGTTGAGCTCCAACACAGCACCAGCTGCCTTGCCCTCTTCCAATGGTGTCAAACTTACCCCAGCCTCAGGGCCTTTGCACTTGCTCTTCCCCCTGCCAGGACTCTCTTCCCACTCATTATTCCCTCACTTCCCTCTGGTCACTACTCAAATATCACTTCATCAGGGGAACTTTCCCTTCCCAATCTATTTAACCCAACTTCTTCTCTCTATCCCTACCATGTTTTATTTTTCTTCCTGGAACTTAGCACTCCTGACTAATGTATTTACCTGGTTGCTTGCCCACCGGAACGTGGGCTCATTGAGAGCACTGCTTTTGTATTATCAGGATGTAGGGCAGTGCCTATACACACCTACACACTAGGTGCTCAATAACTAATCATTGATGGGCACAGGTTGGGGGAACATAAGCAAATCACAGGGTGTCTGATGGGGTCAGGCATAGCAATCAGGACTTCAACCAGGAGGCACTAGGGAGTAAGGTGTTTGCTAATTAGTTTTCTTAATTGTCTTCATTTTTCAAAAATGCATTTATATGCAAAAAACTCACCCTTTTTGGTGTTTAGTTCTATGAGTTTTGACAAATGAATACAGCTATGTAACCAACGCTACAATCAAAATATAAGACAGTTTCATCACCCCTAAGATTCCCTTGCTCCCCATCTGTAGCCCCTGGCAACCATTGATCTGTTTCCTGTCCCTACAGTTTTGTCTTCTTGAGTATGTCATATAAATGGAATCATCCAGTAGGTAGTCTCTTGAGTCTGGCTTCTTTCAGTTAGCATAATGCATTTGGGGTTCATTCCTTTTGTGTATATCAGTAGTTCATTCTGTTTTATGGCTGAGTAGTAGTCTATTGTATGGATGGAACTCAGTTTGTTTAACCATTCCCCAGGTGAAGAACATTTGTGTTGTTTCCAGTTTTTAGTAATTATGCATAAAGTTGCAGTCATTCTTTATGGACAAATATTTTTAAAAACTGAGATATGGGGCCCCTGGGTAGCTCAGCAGTTAAGTGTCTGAGCGTCTGCCTTTGGCTCAGGTCGTGATCCCAGGATCCCGGGATTGAGTCCTGCATCGGGCTCCCCACAGAGAGCCTGCTTCTTTCTCTGCCTGTGTCTCTGCCTCTCTCTGTGTGTCTCTCATGAAAAAATAAAAAATATTTAAAAAAATAAATAAATAAAACTAAGATATAATTCACAAATCATGAAAGTCGCCCTTTAGAATGCACAGCTCAGTGAGACTTATGACCTTCACAGAGTTTTGCAACCATCACCACTATCTAGTTCCAGAACATTTTTATCACCCCAGAAGGAAGCCCCCATCACCATGAGCAGTCACTCTCTGTCCCCCTCCCCCGGCCCCTAGCAACTACTCATCTGCTCACTGTCTCTATGGATTTGTCTATTCTGGAAGTTTCATATACATGGAACCACACACTGCGTGGCCTTTTGTGTCTAACTTCTTTAATTCTGCATGATGTTTTCAATTCTCATCCACATTGTGGCATGTATCAGGACTTCATTCCTTTCTCTTTTTTTAAGATTTTATTTTATTTATTCATGAGAAACACACAGAGAGAGGCAGAGACATAGGCAGAGAGAGAGAAGGAGGCTGCCTGCAGAGAGCCCAATATGGGACTCGATCCCAGGACCCTGGGATCATGACCTGAGCCAAAGGCAGAAGCTCAACCACTGAGCCACTCAGGTGCCCTGACTTCATTCCTCTTTATGACTGAATAATATTCCATTGTATGAATGGACCACAATCATTTGGGTAGTTTCTACTTTGGGGGCTATTATGAATAATGTTGCTATGAACATTCACATACAAGTTTTTATGTGGACATATATTTGCAGTTATGTTCAGCTTGGAGTGAAATTGCTGGTCATATGGTAACTCTATGCTTAATCTTAAAAAAAAAAAAAAAAGATTTTGGGCACCTGAGTGGCTCAGTGGTTTAGCGCCGCCTTCAGCCCGGGGCCTGATCCTGGAGACCTGGGATCAAGTCCCACATTGGGCTCCCTGCATGGAGCCTGCTTCTCCCTCTGCCTGTGTCTCTGCCTCTGTCTCTCTCTCTCTGTGTATTCTCATGAATAAATAAATAAAATCTTAAAAAATATTTTATTTATTTAATTATGAGAGACACACAGAGAGAAGCAGAGACATAGGCAGGGGGAGAAGCAGGCTCCTCGCAGGAAGCCTGATGCAAGATTTGATCCCGGAACCCCAAGATTATGCCCTGAGCTGAAGGCAGACACTCAACAGCTGAGCCACCTAGGTGTCCCTATGTTTAACCTTTTAAAGAACTGCCAAACTGCTTTCCAAAGCAGCTGCACCATATTAACATTCCCACAAGTGGTGTATGAGGGTTCCGGTATCTCCACATCCTGGCCAACACTTGCTATTGTCTGTCTTGTTGTTGTTGTTGTTGTTGTTATAGGCATCCTGGTGGGTGTGAAGTAATATCTCATTGTAGTTTTGATGTGCATTTCCCTAATGACTAATGATGTTAAGCATCTTTTCATATACTTATTTGCCATTTGTATATTTCCTTTGGAGACATGACTACTCAAATCCCTTACCTGTTCTGTTTTGTTTTAATAGACTTTATTTTTAGAGCAATTTTAGTTCACAACAAAATGGAGCAGAAGGTACAGAGATCTCCCATGTGCTTTCTGCCCCCCCCACACCCACAGCCTCCCCCATTACCAACATCCCCCACAAGACTAGTGCATTTGGTACATGGGATGAATTTACATTGACGCATCATATCATCTAAAGTTTACATTAAGGTTCCCTATTGGTATTGTGTCTTCCATGGTTTTGGACAAATGTATAATGCATGTATCCACCATTACAGTATCATACAGAGTAGATACACTGCCAAAGGGACATCTGGGTGGCTCAGTTGGTTAAGCATCTGACTCTTGATCTCACCTTAGGCCTTGATCTCAGGATCATGAGTTCAACCCTCGCATTGGGCCCCATGCTGGATGTGGAGCTTACTTTAAAAAAAAAGAAATCACTGCCATAAAAATCCTGTGTTCCATCTATTCACCCCCCCTCCCAAATCTTTGCCATTTTTAAAAATTTGTGCAATTTGTCTTTTTATTGTAGTCTCATTAGAGTTCATTGTATATTCTAGAGATCAGTCCCTTATCAGATATATGATTTGCAAGTATTTTCTTCATGCTATGGGCATGTACAGGCTTTTGTGTGCCCATAGATCTTTTCTTTTTTTTTTTTTAAAGACTTTATTTATTCGTGAGAGACAGAGAGAGAGGCAGAGACACAGGCAGAGAGAGAAGCAGGCTCCATGTAGGGAGCCTGATGTGGGACTCCATCCCCGGTCCCCAGGATCACACCCTGGGCTGCAGGTGGCGCTAAACCACTGCGCCACCGGGGCTGCCCAGATCTTTTCATTTTCCTTGGGTAACTACTTGGAGTGGGATGGCTGAGTCACGTGGTAAGTATATGTTCAACTATAGGAAAGTTCTGATCCATTTTCCAGAGTGGCTAAACTATTTTGCATCACCATCAGCAATTAATGAAAGTTCCAGTTGCCCCACATCCTCTCCAACACTTGATATTGTCAGTTTTTTAAAAAAGAAATCATCCTAAGGGGGTCTTTGAAGCCTGATCATAGTTACATTCTACAAGATGGCTTCACAGACTGGGGCTGAGGAGGGTTGATGAGAATGGGAGGAACTGTGATCGTCCAGACCAGAAAGAGTGGGGATGAGGGAGGGGGAAGATCCAAGAGCAGTGTAGGGGGCCTGGAGTGTGGCACTGGAAAAGGCTGAGCAGAAGAACAAAGTGGAGAGACAGGAGAGATCCAGAACAAGACAAGCATAGAGCACTAGGTTAAAGGATTTTTGACCTTTAGGTGTTCTGCCCAAAAGGATTCTGGGTCTTAATAAAGTTGGCAGCTACTACATTGTACCTACCCATTGAGGGTGCATGGCGAACATCAGCATGCTAAAGGCTCTGACAAGTCCTAGTCCTGCAATAAAGAATTCTGTTTGGTATTATTTAACTGATTGTTTCCCAAACTTATATGTTGGATCACTTTTCTTAAGCCATATCATCATCATCATCATCATCATCATCATCATCATCATCATCTCCAATGCACACCTGGGGACCTCATTTATCTCTTTCACCCAGTTATTATGCTCCCAGTGCCTAAAACTGGGTCATACCCAAAATCAAAAAAGTGGGGGTTTTTTGGTTGCATTGATGATCTTGTTTGGTCTTAGGGCAACTTGATGAGTTGGGTACTAATATAACTTCCATCTTACAAACGAGGCTTAGAGAGACCAGGTGACTTGTCTAAGGCCCAAGGCTACTGGGTGGAGAACTGGTATTTGAGTTGGGATATGCTTGCAGTCTCTTCATCACCCTGCCTGGCTCTGGAAGGTGCCCCATGCCTCCAGCCTCACCCAGTCGTGGCAGACATGGTCTGCTGTTCTGTGACCTCCGACAGTCCTTCTTGTCCTGGTGGCCATGGACATACTCAGGCTGTTGCCCAGAGAGCTCAGCTGTAACTTGATCTCACCCAGGCTGGGGGTGACAGGGCAGGTGGGCAGGTGACAGCCAGGGCAGGGATATTTGCCCAGACGCTGATGTGCAGCAGCCTGGCAACCCGTGTGGCTCTGAGAAGACTGGGGGCTTGTTCCAGAGTCCCGGCAGTGGTCTTTCCCATGGGCAACAAGCAGACAGTCTTCACTCATGAGCAGCTGGAAGCATATCAGGTAGGGGTGATGGGCTAGGCCCTCAGTAGGCTTAGCAGCCTTGGTTTCCCCGGCCTGCGAAGTGGGGACAGCATCATTTGTCCTGGCTGTGCAGTCAGCAAGGGTTTCTGGTGCAGCTCTGCATGCAGCATCAGGCAGAGATGGGCATGCAGGGAGAGGGAGAGGAAGGAAGCCCCTGAGGCAGGCTCTGGGCCAAGTCAACATCTCTCTCCGCAGGACTGCACCTTCTTCACGAGAAAGGAAATCATGAGGTCGGTCTGGGGAGAAAGAGAGGAAGACCTAGGACCAATTTCTATCCGTTGCTGGAGGATGTTTGCAATTGGACAGGACTGAGTGCTTCATGGTGGTTAAAATGCAAAGGGAGGGATTGCAGGCATGGTCAGGGGATGGAGGCAGAGATGGGGATGATGAGAAGCCACATCCTGTCATATTGTCACAGTCTCTAGGTTGATTAGCTTGGGCTTTCTCCCATGGGTTGTGCAGAGCCATGGAGAATATGTGAGCGGGGTTGGAGAGTTGGGGGGAGACGTATTAGCATGTTAGAAAGATCCCCTGAGCCCAGTGTAAAGAGGCTGGGACTGGAGGCTGGGAACCTGGGGGTAGAGTCTAGAGTCAGCTCTGGGCTGTGGGGGTGGCACCAAGGTAAGGGTGTGGGTAGGCAGCCTGATGCTGCTGCAGGTCGCTTGTGTGAGCGAGAGAGGCATAGATGAGTATCCCACATTACTGCTCAGCCCATGGGGCCATTGTCCAAAGGCCCCGACCGATGAACTTGGAGCTGTGAAACCCAAGCTGGCCGGGGTTCAGATACAGAGTGATAGGGGCCAAGGCCCCAATTGTGTGGGCATGGGATATCCATTATTGATGGGCACACCTTTCACCAGTGAGCCCCATTGTCTGGGTGAGGACAGCTCGTAGGGTCATCCTGGCCATTACGATCAGATTACTGATGGGGAAACTGAGGTTTGGACAGGGGAGCTGGCCCCAGCTCTGCAAATGGGCAGAGCTCCAAGGAGCTTGAGGGCTGGTGCTTTGTTCATCCTGAGCTTCTTGTTTGGCAGCATGATAACTGAAGCTCAGAGGGGAAGAAGGACATGCTCAAGGCCGTACAGAAGCCCAAACCCAGGCTGTTCCATGAGGCAGCCTGGGCAGAGAACTGGGTGGTCAGTGTTTAAATTCCAGATACCCCATTCTTGAGTTCCTAGCCATCATATGACCCAAGGCCTCCTCATCTTCCTCAGAAACAACCCCTAGCAGCTTGGGGACCTCTGACTCACCAAGCATGGTCTCTACAAGGCTGCCTAGACTCATGCCTCTGGTGAAAATAGAGCATCAGCAGGGAGGACATTGGAGTGGAGAGTTGGCCTCACAATCTAGGTAGTGGGGGTGGCACTTGGTGTTTTGCAAAATGCCTTGCATGCATTAAAAAAAATCCTGAATATTGGCCTTTGTCTCTGCTCTCCCCATTTAGAGAACCCTCACATTCTGGGATGAGAGGAAAATGTGAGAATAGGGGGTCTTTAGAGGCAGAGTCTTGCCAACATTGTGATAATATCCAGGATTCATAGATTCACTCAGATTCTCTGAATGTTTGACGTGCAATGATCTTGCCTTAAGCACTCTCCCTTTTGCTGTCCCCACCTGCCTGGTCAGCTCCTATTCATTCTTCAAAGCGCAGTACCAGTGTCCTCACTCGAGTCTCCCCTAGCTCTGGGGTCCTTTATCCACTTTGGCCCTGTCCCCAGGGGGTACATGTGTCTGTGCTCGGCTCTGTGTGCTTGAGGACTGGGCCTAGAGCTGATGACTCTTGGGCACCCATGATGTGTAGCGAGTAGCTGCAAGAATGAGAGGAAAGGGAAAAGCCCTCCCCACCCCATCTCCCAGCCCTTCCTGGTGTTTCCCTCCCCACACCAGGCTCTTCTATCGCTACCAGGACCTGGCTCCCCAGCTTGTCCCCCTCGACTATACCAGCTGTCCTGATGTGAAGGTGCCCTACGAGCTCATCAGCAGCATGCCCGAGCTGAAGGTGTGCGTGGGCCATGGGGTAGGGAGGGGGGAAAATAGAGATGCTCCCTGCTGCGTTCCTATGAAGGGGATATACTTTACAGATGAAAGAAGTGAGTGAGGTTCAGAGAGGTTAAGATATTTGGTCATGGTCACACAGCTAGGATGTGACAGAGACAGGATTCAAACCTGGGGCTGTCTGAACGATGAGATGAGGTAGTGCAGGTAAAGGACTTGGCACAGGGCCTATTGCTTGGCAAGTGCTCAGGGAATGGGAGTTCTGCTTTTCATGGCAGGAGCCACTAAAAAAGCAGGTTCTTTTCTGCTGGATGTTTGTCATGTAGTTTGTGTTGCCAAAAGGTGACTTGTGGGGTGAGTGACTGAGTAGAGATGATTTTATCACAAGGGACAGAAAGCTCATTCGAGAGGGACGAAATATAATGGAACACAGGAGAAAAAACTCTAGGGGCAGAGCTAGCGCCAGGTACAGCTGGAACCAGGGTCTCTGAGGTCGTGCTCGGGAATCTCCCTCCACCTCCCACTTCCTCCCAGGAGGGGGCTTCAGTCTCAGGCAGCCTGTCAGCTTGAGGTAGTGAAGGGAAGCCCCAACAGCCCCAGATTCCTCTGGTCAACTCTGCAACCAGCAGAAAGCAGATCCCTCCACCTCCATCTTTCGGGAACCATCCCAGGGCAGCCTCTGGCCAGGTTGAGCTCCCCCTGCCTCCCCCAGAGCCAATCACGGTTGTCAATGGATAGTGACCTCTGATCAACCTCAACCAGTCAGGTGGCTGCATCCGGAACCAGAAGTGGGGTCAAGGCCACCAAGACCACAGGGGCAGAGGCAGGAGTGCCTGAAGTCCTCTCCTGGGACCGCGGGAGGGAGGAAGTTTTCAGGTGGGGGGTACTTGAAGGTTTCAGGAAGGTGGGTGCTGAGAGCGATCTCATATGGTACCCTGAGTCCCCTCCCTGCTTCTTGTCCCCAGGACAACCCGTTCCGCCAGAGGATTGCCCAGGTGTTCTCTGAGGACGGGGACGGCCACATGACCTTGGACAACTTCCTGGACATGTTTTCTGTAATGAGCGAAATGGCTCCCCGCGACCTCAAAGCCTACTATGCTTTTAAAATTTATGGTGTGTGCAGAGTTCGGGGGTAGGGGAACATGGGGGCGGGGTGGGGGTGGGAACAAGACCAGGTATGGGGCTAGGAGCTGCCCTGCAGTCACAGATGTCTCCCCGGGGGGCTTTGAGGCCCCACATAGACTTGTCCTGTGCCCCATCTTGCTACTTGCTGACCTCATCCCCTTACTCCTTTCCAGCTACACTGGCCTCTCTCTTCCTCCAGCTCCCCAAACTCTTCCTCCCTCTAGGACTTTGCATCTGCTGTTCCCTCTGTCTGGAACAGCTCTGCCTTGACTCCTGCTTACCTTGAAGTCTAGGCCAAAAGCAGCTTCCACCCTCAACCACTCTACACCCCACATCCTATTTCCTCTCCCAGCATGGAGCAGTGCTGCTTCATTCCTCTTCATCCTGATTTCTCTCTGATGAAACCCAAGGGCAGCAAGAGTATCTATTTTTGTCCCCATCTGTCTTCCGTGCCTGGGAAAAAGTAGGCATTCCATATTGTGTGACTAACTGGCGGAAAATTTATCACAGCGCCTAGCATTCAGTAGGTGCTCACTAAAAGCTTGTCAAATGAACAAAACTTTATCACGGTGCCTAGAACATCGTAGGCGCTCACTAAATACTTGTAGATTAAAATCAGTCACATATGCCTGGCACATAGTAGGTCCTCAATAAGTACTTATGGGGGGAATGAATGACCTCCCAGCAGGACTCTGCCCAATTCTAAAGCAAGATCCAGCTATTACCCCAGGGTCTTGGGCTCCCTCCAGTGCCTCAGTTTCCTCCTTTGCAACAAGGGGACAAGAGGCCCGGCCTGTCTACCCCCAGCTGTGCCCCCACTCCACATCCCCTCTATCCCACTGCACAGACTTTAACAATGACGGCTACATCTGTGCATGGGACCTGGAGCAGACAGTGACCAAGCTGACACGAGGGGAGCTGAGCACTGAGGAGGTGAGCCTGGTGTGCGAGAAGGTGCTAGATGAGGCCGATGGGGACCACGATGGGCGGCTCTCCCTGGAAGACTTCCAGAACATGATCCTGCGGGCACCCGACTTCCTCAGGTGTGACACTCCTCGCCACTTTGCACAATCCATTTCCATGTCTGAGAGGGGCTCCTACAGAACTAGTGTGCGGACTCCACTTGTGAAAGCTCCTCCATTCATTCATTTGTGACTATAGAGAACTTTCCCAGCTTCCCTGGCCTCAGTCCCTGCATCTTTAAAGTGGGGATAATTGGGGGCCCCATGAGCACCCCCTGTGGGTGGACACAGCTCTTTAGGCGAAGGGAACATGGCTGGTCTTCAGCCCTCTCTTGCCTGAACATTTTGCAGTGAACAGAGTGGGCAACTGGGTTTGGCAGTCCTGGGAAGAATCAGAGCCCCCACCGGAGGGCTGATAGTAAGTTAATGGGGGGTGGCCAGCCACCTACTTTTGTACCTCGCAGGAGCTAAGAATGACTTTTACATTCTATAAATGGTGGGGGAAAGGTTAGAGACTAATAGTACTCCACGACATGTGAAATGGATATGAAATTCAAATTTCCATGTCCATCAACAGTTTCACTGGGACACAGCCATGCCTGCTTATGTATGTACTGGCCACGGCTGCTTTTGAGCGACAAGGCTCAACTGAGTCATTGCACAAAGCTGGAAGTATCAACCATTTGGCTCTTTGCAGGAACAGCTGGCTGACCCCCGAGTTAGTACATGGGAAGACTTTAGGGCAGTGCCTGGCACACAGCAGGTGCTCAGTATCTGTGTGCTGGGGTTGCTGTCGTGGCTATAATTATGGGTGGTGTCCTTATGTGCACGGAGGTCCCCCCATCCTCTACCTGGAGGAGCCCGCTGGTCTCTTAGCTGACAGACAGGAATAATGACAATTGAATTAGCCCTATCGCTGATAGCAGCTCTGTGCGACAGCACCCTGTGCCTTTGTCCCTTTCGCCCTCATTACAGCCCCATGTAGGAGGGACGGCTATTATCCTTCGTTTACAGAGGAGTAGACTGAAGCCCAGGGTGGGGTAGCCACTCTGAGTCCCACAGCAAGTCTGGGGCGGAGCCCGAAGGTCAGCTCCCATTCAAAGAGGTGTGCTTTCCGCCCCTGTGGGAGTCAGGGGAGCCACCGCCTGGGGTTCTTAAGGGGACCCATCTCCCCTTAGTAGTTCCTTGCCTGTGTCAGGGACTCCCCTTGGGAGAGTTCAGGAGGAGGACGAGCCAGGGCCAAGCTCTGCCTCATGACGGACTCTATTTCTCTTTGCGCACAGCACCTTCCACATCCGCATCTGAGAGCACCGTGGGCGAGAAGCCGGGTCAGAGGAGGACGGGGTGACCCCTCACTCCACTGTGGAATCCGGTCTCCGTGGGTTCTGGGAATAAACGCACGTCACTGAGTCACATCTGCTTGGAAGGCATGTTTTTCACCTTAAACCTGCCGGATGAGAGAGAGGATGCCTGGGATCTCACCTCTGCCCTCACTGTGTGACCCTGGGTGTGGCTGCGCCCTCTGTGAGCCATGATCTCCCCAAGTATACAAGGAAGTGGCTGATTTCTAGATCTTTGTCCACCATGAGGCCTGGAAGTGCCCCGGTAGCTGTTAGTTTAGGTGGGCAGAGACCAGATGTAGAGATCTGGCCTAAGACATCTCACCCCAGGGCCTCCCAAGGCTGAGCCCTACCCCCAACCTCCTGAGTTCCCTCTCCCCCCAACAATCCTTGAGTTCCTCAAGGGGACCAAAGCTTTAACTCCTTTCTCATTCATTAGAACTGCCAGAGGAGGCCTCTGAGGGGGTGACAGTAATGTCATTCACTGAGGCTGGCACCATACTTTACAGTTTACAAAGCACCCATCTCTCTGCCATTGCATTGGCTGCCTATGGCATCCCAGCAGGGCTGCCTGAGAAGCAATCACCCTTCATTTAGGGCAAACAGTGTGATTTGCCCAAGGTCACACTTCAAGTCGTCTGCAAAGGCAGCCTTGGACGCTGGAAGCTCTTTCCAGATCCCAGGCATCTACACCTTGCAGATGCGAGAAGCCCCACACCCACTCCACCTATGGTCTTCCTGGGGCCCATCTATAGCCCAGTCAGTCCAGAGAGTGGTCATTCCTGCGATCGAGACTAGCCCCCAGGCGCCTTCCCGGACACTTGCACTGTGCATCATGTACAGAGCACCCACTCCCACCCTAACCTCCACTTACTAAGCACCTACTGTGAGCCAAAGCCTCAGCTTTATGTGCATCCTACTGCTTCATCCTGAGGAAGAGGGACTGCTCTTCTCCTCATTTTCCAAATGAGGAAACAGGCCCAGAGATGTCTAGTGCTCATCAGGGGTCTCACAGCCCTGTGACCTGGGATTTCCTCCAGGGCCCACTGCTAACAGCGACCCTGGGTCATGTCTCTCCTTTATTTAAAAAAAAATTTAAAAATAACATTTTTCATATATATTTTTAAAGATTTTATTTATTTATTCATGAGAGACACAGAGACATAGGCAGAGGGAGAAGCAGGGAGCCCGATACAGTCCTCGATCCGAGGACCCTAGGATCAGGCCCTGAGCTGAAGGCAGATGCTCAACCACCGAGCCACCCAGCCATCCCATCTCTCCTTCTTTAAAGAAAGGAGCTCATATGCCTCTCCTAAAGCTGACCGTGGTGTCAGGAATGTGTACTGTGTGCCAAGCCCTCTACAGGTGTCACCTCCTCCACCTGCATGAGAACCACAGGAGGAAGGTGTGAACAGCTCCGTTTACAGGCGAGGATGTACTTGGAGTTGAGCCAGGTGCGAAGGATGTAGGGAAAGGGCTCCAATGGACTGGGTTTCAAATCCTGGCACTGATGCCCTGTGGCTGGGTGACCCTGGCCATGTCTCTCCTGCTCTCTGACCCTTAGTCTCTTCTTCAAGATATACAGGATGAGCCTACCTACTGGGCCTGCTCAGAGGCGTAACAGAAATGATGAACTTAGAGGCTTTGGCATGGGGTCTGGCACCCAGTAGGTGCCTCAGACCCTTGCTGTAACCGATTGTTATTATTATGCAAGTAACCAGGCCACCCCATTGGCAACTGCAGGACCAGACCCAAGCAATGTCTGTATCACATTTTTCAGGTTCCTGAGGACTGGCGGATAGACCAGGGGTCCAGTGTGAGCAGCCCCTGGCAGCGAGGGTCCCAGAGCTAGGGCAAACCTCCTCTCTAACAGTACCCAGGGGCAAAGGGCGGCGGTGGGCGGTACTCCTCAGGGAGCCAGTCCTTCTGGGGTTCTATCAAGTCCTTTGTCTCTGATTTGGACACTTTTGAGGACAGGGCCCTCACGACCACTTGGTGCCAACTCCTAGTACTCGGGGTCGCCTCGCTCCAGCTGGCCAATCTTGAGGCCCTCCTGGAGGGGTCACCTCTGTTTCTCAGATCCTGGGGCTCTGAGGGGCTTGCAATGGACGTGGCCACTAAGCAGTCTGTGTTGACATTATCTTCACAGTTTGTGTCACCTGGCCTGGCCCCCGAGCTGTGTGTCACCACCAGTGGCCCAGAACTCCAGAGTGACGACGAGTTCATAGATGTCTGGTGGGATGTCAGCTGCTGCTGGACCCTCTTGCCCATCTGGGGAAGCATCTTGAGGTTCTTCCAGAGTTTCCGGCGGGTCTCCGCAAGAGGAGCTTTCGGTGGGGAGGGGGATGTGGCTTCCTCCGTGGAAGCTCTGTCCATCTCTGCTGCTGGCTTCCTTCCCTTCGGCCAGTGGAGGAGGGCAGGCCTTGTTGAGGTCTGAAACCAAGAGCGGGTGAGACCTGGGACCATCTCGCTCCCCAAGACTCTGAATCTGCCTTGGAGCTTGGGACATGGGTTCCACTCAGACATCCAGGGGCTGAAGCCCCAAACCTGATCCCCTGCCCTTCCTATCCCCACAAACAGCTCCATTACCTCCCCCAGGGATGGCAAACTCTTCACAAAGGACCAGAGAGCAAATATTTTCAGGTTTGTTGGCCATACGGTCTCTCAGTCCTCAGCCCAGCTGCTGTAGGGCAAAAGCAGCCAGAGATAGTACACCAGTGAGTGAGTGCACCTGCATTCCAACAAAACTTTATGGACACGGAAATTTGACTTTCCTCTGATTTTCACGGGTCATGAAATATTACCTTTATTTTTATTTTTCTCAACCATTCAAAAACATAAAAGCCAAGCTTAGCTCGTGGGCCATATGGAGACAGGTCAAATGTGGTGCTCAGGCCCTCATCTACTTGTTTGTTGAAGTGACATTAGTGGCAGATGCCGACAATGCCCCATCCATATCCCTTTGTCCTGGGCACCCAGGGCCCCCGGCTCCACTCCCAAATGCCAGCGGTGGAGACTACCTGGGGTCCTTCTTTGGCCCTGTGGCAGATCAGAAGTGCCAGAGAAGTAAAATCTCCCAGGAACAGCACTTGGCCAGGGACTAATGGAAGATAGAGGATCAGTATCCCAGCTCCTCACCCCTAAGCTGGGATAACTGAAGTGCATGCCCCATGCAGAACCCCAGCCTTCCAAGGGGTAGTGAGCCCTAGATGACCACAGGGAACCTGCTCACTAACACACCCTTCATGGGGCTGCTTTCTCCCATCCCACTTCCCCGCTCCCTTAGTGGCACATCCTTGCCTCCCAAATGATGGAGGGCCCAGGGACTCAAACCATGACAAGGTCCTGCTTCCCTTCACCCTCCACCTCCAAGCCACCAGCAGGCTCCCTTCTAAAATGGCCCAAATATCCTCTTCTTGCTCCACCCCCAGAGATCCTTCTCTTGCTCCTCCCACTGGACAGTCCCTGCCTCCTTCCTGCCACCTCCACCACTGCTGCCAGGCAGCCCCTTTTGCAGCTGGCAGCCACAGGCTCTCTGGTGGCAACTCCTCCGCACATCTGGAATAGGACTCCAGCTCCTCATCCTGCCCCCAAGGCCCTGCATTATTTGGCTCCTGCTGATCCTGGCACCTTGGCTCCCAACAACCACCCTTTCACTCACCCCACTCCATCCACACACTGGCTTTTGTTCTTCAAATACACTGAGTCTCAGGACCTTTGCATGTGCTCTTTTCTTTTTTTTTATTTACTTATGATAGTCACAGAGAGAGAGAGAGAGAGAGAGAGAGAGAGAGGCAGAGACACAGGCAGAGGGAGAAGCAGGCTCCATGCAGGGAGCCCGACGTGGGACTCGATCCTGGGTCTCCAGGATCGCGCCCCAGGCCAAAGACAGGCGCCAAACCGCTGCGCCACCCAGGGATCCCTGCATGTGCTCTTTTCTGAGCTGGAAACACCCTCCCTGCATCTCTGTGTGTGACTGATTCTTCCTTATCCTACGTGTCCAAGTTCTATGCCACCTCCTCCAGGAGGTCTTCCCTGACTGTTCTCTTTACCCTTTATCCCACCCCCCCCCACTGATATTCATCCTATCACCCTGTTTCATGTCTACTATCATCAGAACTTCCCTGCCATGTGGGAGGCATGGAGGACACTTAGCCTAGGGGCTTCTGAAGGTCCAGTCAGCCCTGAGAAGGTGGGATTTGTTACTTTATTCATTCATCTACTCTACAGATTCACTAGTTGCTCACTTTCTCTGTGCCCAGTCTTCTCTGAGGGGAGGAGAGGCAGATAGATGAACAAGATAGGATGAACAAGCCGGATAGATTCCCAGGCGTCCCAGAGCTCACAGTCTGATGGGGGAGGCAGCCAGGAAATGTGAAAACTCACACATTAGCTTTTAACTCAAAAAGACCTTTTAAAGTGTGAGGTGTTCTCTGCAGTAAACAAACAGGGTGATGTGATGGAGAATGCAGAGGGGACTACTTTCAGTCTGGAGTCTGGGGAGGGAGACACTTGAAGAAAGAAGCCAGACATAAGAAATCTGGAGGCAGAGCACACGCAGCATGTGCAAAGTCCCTGAGGTGGGTGGCACCAACATGCACAAAGGCCCTGAGGTGAGACCAGGACATGCAAATGTCCTGAGGTTAGCTTGATGTATCTGAACAGCAGAAGAGATAGCAGAGGGGCGGGAGTTGGACTGGTGATGAGCACAAAGAGTAGTGAGGTCACAGTCGGGATCTTAATGGCAGTGTCTTGAAAAATCACTAGGTTTCATGCTTGGAGCTATAGGACCCAATTTTCACTCTAAAAAGTCTCTGGCAGCTATTGGCCACTTCTGCTCCCACCCCTCCCCTGTGTTGGAAGTGCTAGCTTTTCTGTCACATACCTCCTCAGGTGCAGCAGCCCTGGGACAGGAGGAAGGACTCTGAAGTTCCCTGGGGCCATGTGTGGGGCTGGTGACTTCCTCAGTCAATGCATTGGAGTAAAGGAAGAGATCCTCATAGTCCACATTCACTGGATCCTCCTGTGGGGCAGAGGAAACCTGCAGCTCAGCCCCAAGGAGGGGGGTGGGCTGGTCCCAGGGTCCCAGACAAACTCTGGAAGGTGGTGCTCAGGAGCTGCATTGCCCACAAGCCTTGTATGGAAGCATGCCCCTCCCACAGGAGCTTCTGAGGGCTAGGACCCCCCCTGCACCCCCTCCTCAGCCCCTGACATGAGTCTTATAAGGAGATACGCTATTCCTAGAGATCAGCCAAGGTTATACCCCCACCACAAATGAACCCTTGTAAAAAAATTAGCCTGGGGGGCTGGGGTGAGGCAGGGAACATGGACCAGGAAGGGTGAGGCCATGGGGGGGGGGACACACAGGGACCATGAGAGTGACAGATCACCAGAGGCTGAATGGGGTGTGTGGGAACAAAATGAGTCTGGGGCTTGGCCCCTGGCAGGGTGGCTATGGCTCACCACGGTCCTAACCTCACCTGCCCACAGGGCTGTGTCAGCAGGTCTCCATGTGGCCGCACAGGCTGCTGTTGGTGAAAAGTGACCAGGGCATCCAGCGAGGCATGGGTCATCTCCTCCCCAGGGATCCTGAAGCTCCCATCATCCAAGAGCTTCACCATGAAGTGGCGGCAGCAGCTTTGTGCTCTGTGGTGGCGACAGAGCTAAGGCTGGGAAATCCCATTCCCCCTCATCCCGTCCCCATCTCCCCACTGAGCTGGCAGCAACGAGGCTGCAGTCTGACTGTTCAGGTTCCCATAAGCCTTCTGCACTTTTGAGCCATGAGACACTTGGTGGGTGACTGAACATATTCTGCCTCAGTTTCCCCATCTATAATGTGGGGCTAATGAGGCTGACCTCAGGAGTTCTCATGAAAATGGAATAAGCTACTGCAGATGAAAGCTTAGCTCGGTGCCTGGCCAGGCTCAAATGATCAATAGAAGTGATGATAATGAAAATGGGAGCCGGTCCCAGGCTAAGTCTAGGTGCCTGGCACATGGCAGGGCCTCAGTAAAAGCCCTGTTAATGAATGGATGCATTTATTAATGGTGCATTATGTGCTTACTTAATTTTCACAAGACTCTGAATTAATTTTAGCATTCCTGTATTAGAGGTGAGGACTTTGAGGGAGGCACAGGTAGGTCGAGTAACTTGTCCAAGGTCACACAGTATATAAGTGGCAGAGCCAAGCCTTTGTGTGACTCAAAGCCTAAGCTTTTCCCACTGTCGGTAACTCTGTAGTGGAGCCATTGGGTTTTTTATTCCTTTAGCCTAGAATCCTTTTGAAAAGTAGTTTGTACTGCTGAACTGGATCAGGTTTTGAGGCCTTAAGGAGCTGGACTGCCCTGAGTTTCCCTAACACGTCTCTTCCAGGTGGAGTCAGAGGGTTGCCAAATAGGTGGTTGAAGGGAGAGGGATGGTTAGGGGAGGGCAGTAGTCACTCCTGGGCTCCCAGCAGCCCCTGTTCTCAGACACACAGGCTGTTGCCACCAAGACCCCCATCTGCTGATTACAGCCGGACCTGCAGCTGCTCACTTGAGCCAGATTTGGACAGAACTTTATACCAGTTGTTCTCTAAGAAGTTGTGGTATGAAGCGCCTCTTGCCCCCTCCAAGAAAGCCCTGGAGCCCTCGTGCCCCTTCCCTGGCCCCTCACCCAGTCCTTACTTGTAGGACAGTGTGTAGCCCACGTGGCTGTGACTCACTCTAATGAGAAAGGATCCCAGTGGCTGTAACTCCAGCAAATTCTCGGCGTCCCTGGAAGGACACATACAGGAGGGAGATGGCTGCAGTTCAGCTGCCCACCATACTAGCCAGACCCGTCATCCCAGGCCTGAACAAACCTGAAACCCTTTGTGGTTGTTGTTTCAGACCTTGGGCTAATCAGGGACAGGTGTGTTCCCATGAGTGGCAGAAGGCCTCTGATGACCTTGACCCCAGGACAGTCTTCCTCCTATCCCCCACAGCCTTCACAGTGCCTGCCTGCTTCCCCAATGCCTGAAATATCCCCATTAAGGCATCTTTGAGTGGATCAGGGTGTCAGAGGTAACCATGCAGGAGCTGTTTTCAGGCGCACTTGAGCTCAAACCACAGCTTCTCTGTTCATTAGCTGTGTGACACCTGGCAAAGGTCAGGCCCTTTCTGACCTTCAGTTTCCTCAAGGGGAAAGAAAACCCTCACTCCCAGGGCTGATGCAAAAGCAGATCAAATGAATGGAACACAAGTGTGGGAACCGATACTCAGTAACTGTTCACCAGATGCTCACTATGATTATTACTATTATTCACTATCATTATTACTACTATTATCTGGGATTCACAGAGAGGAACGTGACCTTCTAGGAGACAAAATGGGGAGATCCCAGCTGTCTGCTCCAGAGGCCACTGACCACTGTGGCACTGAGCACTTAGTGTGGCCAATCCAAATCAAGATGTGCTTTTGGCACAGGATTCCAGATTCTGAAGACTTAGCACAAAATAAAGGAACGTATACTATCTCATGAATGAGCTTTTAGTTCTCATGTTAAAGTGATAATATCTTGGATATAGTGGGTTGAGTAAAAGATAGGTTTAAAATTAATTCTACCTAAGGGCACTTGGGTGGCTCAGTGGTTGAGCGTCTGCCTTTGACTCAGGTCATGATTCCAAGGCCCTGGGACCGAGTCCCACATGGGGCTCCCCGCAGGGAGCCTGCTTCTCCTTCTGTTTATGTCTCTGCCTCTCTCTGTGTGTCTCTCATGAATAAATAAAATCTTTAAAAATATATAAACAAAATAAAATTAATTCTGCCTATTTCTTTTTACTTCTTTTAATCTAGCTGCTAAAAACTTCAACATTGCAACGTGTGGCTCACAGTATGTTCTTACTGGCGCACCCCAGAACTCAGAGACAATGGCCAATTCATTCTCCCTGTGGCTTTCACAATGTTCTCTTGATTTCTCTACATGCTAATGGTGGCCATAAATGTTCTTCACTTTGTTTATTTAGAACCAAGGGGGTGACTAATGAGGTGGGTTTGTTCATGTCCCCAGAACTCAGTCCAATGTAAAAAGTGCATGTTGGTCATATCCCTGATGGATTGAGAGCAGCTGTTTGGGACACTGTGTTAAGGAGGATTCGGAGGCTGCATCCTGCCATCAGTGGCCAATGCCTGGCCTTGGGGAAGGGGTCTCTGGCAGTGCTGGTCTGGTGGCCACTTGTATAGAGAAAGCCAAGGTCTGGAGATGGGAAGTAACTGGCCCCGGTCACACAATCAGTCCACAGAAAAGGCAGGACTCAAGCCCAAGACTTAAGAGTTCTTTTCACCAAGCCAAGCTGAGCCCAGAATTCTGCAGAAAATCTGCCCAGCGTGGGTGGGGGCAGACAAGGAAAGACGGTGAAGGGCAGGGTAGAAGATATGCGTGTGTCCTTACTCTCTCGAGATGGCACCGTGGAACCATGCAGGAACCCCTCCTTGGGCCAGCTGGGCCACCTGCGTCTGCACGAACCAGTCCAGCCGTGGGGGCAACGGCGGGGGCAGCTTTCTGGCCTCCGTCATGGCTTCCTGGGGGGGCAGTTACCTGGCGGTACGAGGGAGAAGAGAGAGTCAAGCCTCATCCACTGCCTGTATTTTTTCTCTATTCTTTTATTTTTATTTTATTGTATTTATGATAGAGAGAGAGAGAAAGAGAGAGAGGCAGAGACACAGGCAGAGGGAGAAGCAGGCTCCATGCACCGGGAGCCCGATGTGGGATTCAATCCCGGGTCTCCAGGATTGCACCCTGGGCCAAAGGCAGGCGCTAAACCGCTGCGCCACCCAGGGATCCCTTTTTTCTCTATTCTTACAGCTAGCTCATGGTGCCTCCTCCTTTGAGAAGTCCTCCAGGCTGGGCGGAGCAATGGGCTTGCAACTGCCTTGTGTTTCTTGAGCACCTACTATGTGTGGGCACTTGATATACATTCATTCATTGGTTCCTTCCAAAAATCCTCCAAGAATTTGTCCTTGTCCTTTCTTATTATGCCATTACTAAAAGTGTTAGAAAGTTCCCTTTATAAATATATGCATTTAAGCTTAAAAGCAGGCTTTATTTAGGGGTGCCTGGGTGGCATAGTTGGTTAAGCACCTGACTCTTGGTTTCTGCTCAGGTCACGAATTCAGGGTCCTGAGATGGAGCTCCACATTGGGTGCTGCGCTCAGCTTGGAGTCTACTTGAGACTTCTCTCCCTCCGCCTCTGCCCTTCCTGCTTGTGCCCTCTCTCAAATAAATAAATAGTTTTTCTAAAAAAAGAACTGACTTTATTTAAATAAATATCAACATCCCAGGAGGGATGTGGACATGGCAAAATGGTAGTGAAGAAACACTAGAGAACAGTAGTCCCAAGTAACTCCCTTTGTTCCCAACATCGTCATGTCTGGTGGCCACTGAAGGCACACCTGTAATGTGTCAGGTACATCATTAATTCACATGAGTTTCGACAGTTTGAAGCTCAAGGTAACACTGGACTTTGTGAGCCAATGACAAGGAGCTGAAGACAATTAACAGCACTGCTTTATAAAAGAGTATCAGATCAATGCAAAACCAGGTCATGCCCTGCTGGGTGGTCCACTCATGACCCTTCATGGTCACCCTTAATTCTGTCCCTAACCTAGCCCACCCCCTACGCTGGCCCTATCTAATGTTTCAATATTGCAGAAGGTTCATTGTTACTGGGTTGTTTCCAGAGGGTGGGGACATAGTAACTAACCCGGTCAATATTGACTTTCTTCTGCCAGGAGACAGACAGATGCTGAGCACACCCTCCTGGGAGAGACCCAAAGGCATTCTGGAACAAGTAAAATTAAAGAGATAAATTAAGAAATATTTAATAAAGTAGGGTGATAAAGCAATTAAGAGCCTGGAATCAGAGCCAGATAGCCTGGGTTCAAGCCCCAGCTCCCCCACTTAGCTGCTGTGGGACCTTGGGTAAGTCACTTAGTATCTCCGTGCCATTATTTTCATCTGTAGTTTGGGGATTTGATATTTACCTGGGAAAGTATGGTTGGTTGGTTCAGAACTAAACACTCCATGTATATAATACGTATTCATGATCCAGTAGTGTCCTAGCCTGGGGTAATGTATACAGGTTTGTTCTTTTTTCTCCCTGGGAGAACTCCTATTTATCCTTCAAGACCCAGCAAAAATATCCCCTTTTCCAGGCAGCTTTCCTGTCTATTTCCCTGGACAAAGCCTTGGCACCCTGCTTTGTCTCCCATCTTCTCCTCTGTTCCTGCCCACCTTTTTGCCTAGCCTTACCTTGTGGAGCTCAAGTGTCTGTGTGTAGTGTGAGCCCTGACAGTTGGCTTTTACAAACATTTCTTTCTGTAATGCAAGTGCCTGACTTAAGCTTTGAGTGCCAAGTCATCTGCTTTAACTCAATGAACTCTATCTCGAATAAACACATTACCAGGCATACAGCTAGATAAAGAGCCAGGATGCTCTCCCTGGACCCCCCTCCCCACTTCCTTACCAAGAAGCTCCTTTGTTTTAGGGATCCTGGTTGATTTAGATAACTGGCCATTTAGGTCACTACCCCCCACTTCTTTTTTTCTTTTTCTCTTAGCATGCTTTAAATTCCTGCTTTTGGGATCCCTGGTTGGTGCAGCGGTTTAGCGCCTGCCTTTGGCCCAGGGCACGATCCTGGAGACCCGGGATCAAATCCCACGTCGGCCTCCCAGTGCATGGAGCCTGCTTCTCCCTCTGCCTGTGTCTCTCCCTCTCTCTCTCACTGTGTGCCTATCATAAATAAATAAAAATTAAAAAAAATTCCTGCTTTTATGTTTTATACTTATCAACAAGGAGGCCCCCCAAACCCTAGCCCCCCACCCTCAACCCCAGTAAAAGCAGAACCCTAGGGCCATGTGCATTGGCTTTGTCTCTATCAGCAACCTGGTTGTGTGCCCCCCTGTCGTGCCTTGTACACATCAGGGCTGGTAAGTAAGAGTTTGTTTTCTTCAAAGCTTCCAGATGGTCATTGCTGATGGGCAGCTTGCAGTCATAAGAACCACAAGGATCAGTCCTGCCTAACTTTGGTTTGGCAAGGGGAGGTGTTTGTGGGAAACTCGGGCCTAGGTGAGTGTCCCCAGGCATTTACTATTAATAAGCTGAGCACTTACTATGCGTGGGCACTTGATGTACACTTGATGTACATTCATTCATCGGTTCCATGCACAAAGCACTGCATCTGGCTCTGACTCCCCCATCTGGCTTGCAGAGACCAGGCCCAGGGCTAGGTCTCTAGGTCCCTTGCACTACCTGACACTGGGCAGGCACAGGGGTGTCTGGTGATGAATAACTATCCGGGGATGAATGAATTCACACTAACTTTCAACTGCCTGACTCCGACATCAGGGCCTCCCCATCTCCTCATCCCCCACATTCTAGCCCTAAGGCCACTCTTGCTCTGTCCCGAACTGACCAAGCTCTGTTTCCCTCCACACCTTCACCCATACTGTTCCCCTTGCCAGGAACACCCAGCCCCCAGCCCCAGCTCCATTTTTCAATGGTCAGCTCCCACTGAAAATTCCTCCTGCTTTTCTGGTCTCTTACACTCTGTCCCTCCTTCTGGCCTAGTCTGGTTCCCATGCTCTGTCTTCTAGAAATCTGGGCTGGAGCTGAGGCTCTTGGGGCCCGGCCTCACCCAGCATGGGGCAGGCACAGAGGTGGGCCTGTGGCTGGCTGAGGGATTCCGGCCCGGCACATACCTGGGAGACTCTTGAGCAGCCGAGGCTCTCACTCTTGCTGGGCTCAGAGCCTGTGGGAGCCTTGGTTTCGATTCAGGGTCTGCACGTCAGCGGGGTGGGGCTGTTGCCCCTGGCCTGTTCCTGTTTCCTTAAGCAGGTGAGCCCCAGGGGCGGAACCAGGACAACCCTGGTTGCCCTCGGTCTGCAGTCCAAAAAAGCTGCTGAGTTGCAGGTGGAGGGACACCAATTGCTTCACCCACAACAAGCTGTTATTGAGCACCTACTGTGTGCCAGATCCTCAGGGGGCAGAGAGGGGACCCCAAGAGGTGTGAGCCCCACTCCCTTGGCATCTATGATCTGGCAAGCAATGAAGAAGAGTAAGAAATTATTAATGCTGCAAAGCAGACAGCCTGTCAGGAAGGAGTGGCATCTGTTGCAAGAATCCCCAGATGGGGTCTTAACTGATCTGGAGGAAGAAGGACTTGAGTGGGGGCAGGTAGTTGTTAACTTGATTGTGGGGTGTGAAAAGGGAGGGCAATAGGTGGGGGATGAGCATGGGCAGAGGCCCTGAGGCAGGGTCAAGCCTGGACTCTCTGGGGCCTCATGATGCACATACAGCCACGTTATGACTTCCTCTGTAACAAAACGAAACACAACAGAAAACCACATTTAAAGAACGCCTGGGTGGCTCAGCAGTTGGGTGTCTGCCTTTGGCCCAGGGCATGATCCTGGGGTCCTGGGATCGAGCCCCACATCAAGCTCCCTGCATGGAGCCTGCTTCTCCCTCTGCCTGTGTCTCTGCCTCTCTCTGTCTCTCATGAATAAATAAAATCTTAAAAAGAAAGAAAACCACATTTAAAATGGTATTTTATGACTGTGATGGTTCCTAGACTGATATAATCTGGGCTGGATTATTATATATTAATTATTATTGCATTCATTTTTAATTCTGATAAAAAAAAAAAACAAAAAAACAAAAACATTCTAGGGAGCCCTACACACATTGTAGGCCCTGAGTGTAGGAACTTGTGTCTAACGGACCAGGCAGCCCGGATGTGTGTTAGCTACGCCTCCTTCCCCAGTACTGGACAAAACCACTTCCTTCTCCCCTTTGAGGCAGCAGTGGCCCAGATGGTCGTGGCTGAGCTGGAGGCCTCCCCTCGGGCCTATCACCTCATTGCAGGCTCCAGGTCAGTGACCTCACCGCCCCCTGCTCCAGGGGTGGGGAATGGCCTTGTCTGGAGTTTTCAGGTCAACAAGGCCCAAGCAGGAGACATGTGGAATCTGGCTTCCTACTCACCCCACTGGGAAGCCTTGGGTGGCTTGCTCAACCTCTCTGGGCCTTAGTTTCCTTAACCATGAAGTGGGCTTAACAGTCCTCCTTAATCACATGATGATGATAGGGGCGACAGCCATCAAGCATGCAGCATGGGGTTCATGTTAAAGAGTAAAATCAGGACTCTTCACTGTGACTTATCTGATGCCTTTGTGCCTGGCTGGGGAGATGCAAGCTCAGGCTCCAGACTTCACAGGCTGAGCCACCTTGGGCCACTCGTGTCACCCCCATGATCTCTGTAGCCCAGTGGGTCAGCTACCAGACTCCATGATAAGGAGCGACACTCTTGGGGAGGGGCTTGTGCCTGCCTCAGAGACCCTCATCCCTTAGAAAGCCTGGCCTCATTAGCATGAAGTTGTTTCCAGAAACGTGGGGTGTTTCAGGCCACTTCTGGCCCGCCCCCAAAGCCCCACCTCTCTGACCCACTTGGGAGATGTGGTCTTACACATATCACAACAGAATCATCCCCCACTCCGTGGTGACCACATTCCTCAAAAGTGTGAATGGACAGGTGGCCCCCAGAGGAACTCACGGAAGAGGGCTGGCAGGGGGGATATGGGGCTGGGACTCCAAGGTCCCTCCTGCTTTGGTGTTAGGTCTGGACTTTTCACTGGAGGCCTCAGTCAGTGAGCAGGACTTTCATGGCCCTGTGGGGGTGGCTCTCCCAGGAGGGACCACAGTGCCTTCTCAGCCCTGGGGACATGCAGGGGTGGGGCAGCCAGGCTCTGCCAATGCTGAGCTTTATGTGTTTTCAACCATTCTATGGTCCTACAATGCTTTCATTCTACTCACTAACTCATTGGCTCCACAAACATTGGCTGAAAGCCCCAACTGTGGGCATCGGGCACCGTGCTAGATGCTGGGGATGGAACAGAAGACAAGACAGGCACTATCCCTGCCCTGCTGGAGCCCACAGCCCATGGGGAGATGGTTACCCCTCAAGTTTGCACACAGCAAAGGCTTTCACAAGAGAGAACAGCAAGGTAAAGGCTTGGGGTAAGAATAAACCTGGCACCCCTGAGGAATAGCCAGCCAATGCGTCCAAAGGGTGGAAATAACCCAATGTCCACCAGTGGATGAACAGATTTTAAAAAGTCTGTCCATACGATGGAATATTATTCAGCCATAAAAAAGAATGCAGCCCTCACATGTGCTACAACACGATGGATCTAGAAAACCACATTGAGCCAAAGAGGCCAGATAACAAAAGGAAAACCACAGTGTATGTATTTCATTTACATGAAATGTGCAGAACAGGCCAATCCAGAAACAGAAAGAAGACTAATGGTTGCCAGGGGCTGGGCACGGCAGGTGGGATGGGGAGTGACTGCTCATGGGGATGGGGTGATGAAAATGTTCAAAACAGACTGTGGGGACAGCCACACAACTCTGTGAATATACCAAGGATCGCTTCATTGCACTTTGGTGGCTGGATTGTTTGGCGTGTGAATTACATCTCAATAGAGAGGTTACAAAAAAAAGTCGAGGTGTCACCTCTCCCTCCCTACAGGGGGACAACAGCCAAGGAGCCACTTCCCTGCCACCACAGCGAAGTCCTAGCGACTCTCGGAGGCTGAGTTCAAGCACCCCAGCCTGACCTGGTTGGGGGCCATGGGTGCAAAGTTGGGACAGCATGGTGCAGATACTTCCAGCTCAGAGCTGTGAGCTATGTATGTGACTTGTGCCCTGTTAAGAGATAAGATGTGAAGAGAAGGGAGTTTTTCTCTTGGGGCACAAGACAAATAGCGATGCTAATAATAACGATGACAACTGTGATGTTGGTGGCAGCTCATCTCTGAGGGCTTAGTAGACATCAATCACAGCCTGAGATGCAGCATCTCACTGGCTCATGCCTGCTTTACAGATGAGGGGATCTAATGAGGCTCAGCCCAAAGCTGTGCTGGGGCTCAGATAGGAGTTCGGAACCCAGCACTTGACTTGGCAAACGTGGGTGCCGCAGGGATCCAGATGAGAACCATGGGGACGAGATGGGTCTAATGTTGACCAAGAAGGTTCAACAGGGAACGTGGCGTCCCAGGTGGTACTGTAAGTGCGGACACCTCTCTGTTTTCCTGCAAAGTTGGGGTGGAGCTGGGGGTCAGGAAGCTTCTTCTTCTAATTCACAGTATCATCTCAGAGCTTGGAGTAACCGACGACCTCTGCTTTGATCCTGTCTAGATCTGGGGTAGCAATGAACCTGGCACACCTCAGGTGCAGACAAGAGCCAAGCATGCAAAAGGTACTGGGTCTGGAGGCCCCACCAGGCAGGCCTGTGTTAAATTACAGGCCTCCTGAGGACCCTCAATCCAATACCCAGCCATATCCATGTAACTACAGGGGACATGGGACAAAAAAAAAAAAAAAAAAAAAAAATCCCATTAACTTTAACCTAGTCCAATCTCTAATTTTACAGATGAAATTAAAACCAAGAAATACGCTATATATATCTATATATATATATATAAATCTGTTAACTTTAAAATGAGCTTTAATTTGTTTTCCTTAAGTGCATTTATCGATGTAAACAGAGCATGTTAAGAGATTTCAGGGGAGAGCAGACTATTGCTGGTATGTTGGTTTTAATTGACAAAAGAAAAAACTACAACGCCAATGGCTTGGACTGACAGTAGCTTTGGGTGGGGTATGAGGGGCTAGTAGGAAAAGAGAAAGAAAGGCTCCCAGGTGACCCCCCTCTGACCTGGTTACCTGATCCCAGTTGTACAGTCTCTACAGGAGGGCAGAGCTGTCACAATAGAACCGGGCGACGGCAGTTAGAAACCAACTCAGACTGCTCCGTGGTCAGTCTGGTGCCCCTGTTCCCCAGCCTATGCCAGGCGCTGCCCCACGCCTCCAGCCTGTCCAGCCAGAGGTGTGCGTGAGTTCCCAATCACCTGGGTCTACCGCTGGAAATCAGAGACGGAATCACTTCATGACACTACAGATCTGAAAAAATAAAAATCTCAGCTAGAAAGGATGTCCGATTTGGAGACAGCGGGAGGGAAGAGGAGCGGTTGGGGGTGGGGGGGACTGCTCAAGGGCCAAGAGGCAGGTGCCCTAAGCACAGGCGGACCATGCGTGGTGGCATGTTTGGGGTCACCTGTGGCACATGTGGCATCCCCTCGGTGCTCAGGCGGGGACTACCATGAGGCCCTCTGACCACGCCCGAGGCCTCGCTGGACTACAGACCAGCACCTGGCTGTGAACAGGAAGGTGCTTCTTTCCTCAGGATTTCCGTAATTTGTGCTTCCCTTTGGTTTGGTTTGACAGTTGAGAAGGAGAGAGAAGGGGGGGGGGGAAGAGCGGTTTTTGTCACTTGTCCAAAACTGACAGAAGAGGAGAAAGTGGGCATCAGATGTACTAGGTGGACGCTTCGTGGGCCCGGTGTGCATTGCCTCACTCAAGAGTGTAGAGCCTGGCACTCCTGGCACCCTCGCTGGCCTCTGGGGGCCTGGCTTCTGTGGTGGGGATATGGACGGGCTTTTCGGCAGGGCTTCCGTTGTGTTGCAGGGTGATGAGGATTAAAGGCCTGGAGATGGAGGCCTGCCATGTTGGCTGATGCTGATAGCCATGCCTCACCTCCATCTTTCTCTCTGGTGACACGACGAGAGGGCCTGTTCAGCAGACATCGCGGGAAAGATACCAAATTCTTAACTTACTCCATCTCCAAAGTTGAAAAAGATCAGACAGTTACTAAAATAAACGATTTCTTAATTGTGTCTGGTGGCCATGGGCC